TGTATTTATTAAGTATTTGACAGCGATCAATACCGCGTATGGACTTCTACTCTGAATTTATAGGTTTTTGGAAGGCTTTCCTGTCACTTACAGAGGTGGCTATCGCTAGTAAACATCCCCGTCTTCCGACATTGGCCATATAATTTTTTCTTCGCTGTAGAAGAATTACTAAGCCTTTTGCGGTCTGACTGTGTCTTTACAAGGCAGCACCTTTAGTCACTACGTTACTGTCTGCCGTCTACCGTAATGGGGCACCGCAGAGCAGTATGGCAGTATACTACCTTGAAGAAAGATATCTTTCATTGCTCAACTAGACCCTGCTCGTTCATCGCCCACGATTTGTAATCCTTTTGTATCCAACACGACTCCGTGCAACTCCCTTTTGCAAGCCAATCCCCAAACACTCGAAATGGTTTGGTTAGAGGCCGGACGCTATTTCGCATTGGAAATGGCTTTGATACAGTACTCTTTCAAAACTCAATATCCATTTATCATTTACTTTTTAGATTGTTTGAGCTCTCATTATTCGACCACTAAGACTGCGCTGTGATGCACGATTGTCATAGCTGTGCCCCACAGTAGGGGTTCTGATTTCCCAGCTTTTCCAGTTCAGGGAGCTGGAACGGAAAAACTCAACCATAGAATAGCATTCTTTATTCCTGCTTACTGGTATAGAAATTTTTGGAAATATTAACATATTAATGCATGGTAATTCATAGAACTCCTCTCATGTCACCCTACGACTTACAGCTTTAAGTTTCCAGCAGGTACGACATAAGTCTAGTAATTATCGCTACACTCGCATATTGTTCTTTTTCTTATGATTATAAGCTATTTTTCACTCAAAAACCTTTATGTATGTTTTGTAACTTGGTAACATTTTTCTTGCTTTTGGAGTGTACTCCACTATCACTACCAAACTTCGAAAAAAAGTTTTTGGTATTCAGAGTGAATCTTTGGTAAAAATTCGGAACACTTCGCCCCAATCGTTTACGCGGAGTCACTACGACAAACATGTCATTTTCTCTGGTGACTTTCCTCATAATTAGCCAAGGAGGGGAGCGCTTCAATGAGGGGAGCGCAATGGTTCGAGCTAACCCGCCCATGCGATCAGCGCGGAATGCACTCCTAAACAGAAAAGCTTTTTTCTCATTGAGTTTTTCCCGCCTTTCCCCACTCGTTTTCACCTACTCGTAAACAAACTGATATTTGAAATAGTGGTTTAATATAGTCCCGCATCTATGGTGTCTGGCTTCCTAGCACCTACTATTGGGTTATCTGATACACTCAGTTTGAGTGCGCTCGATCGGTCGGCGGTGTTCAACTGGGCTAGAAAAGATCCATCATCCTGTGACATCACGTCCCCTGCCGTCGAAAGGGTGCGCTCACGTTACCATTGTGCTCGACCCTCTTTCAACGCCTTCACTGTTTACAGAACTCATGGACAGTTCCCATGCTACCAAAATGCATAATATATGCCCCCGAGAAGGGTGTTACTAGGTTGCCTAGCTCTCCGATCTTGTTCCACATGGATTCTTGTCTGAACTTCTCCTTCAAAACCGCGCAAGTAGCTTTAAAGCTATGCTTTATGTCTCCTCTTTTTCTTTTTACTGCTCATATATTGCGCCCCATACGACGCGGCGTGTGTTAGGGATCAAACCTCGCGATCGTTGGGTTCCGGGCCAACAAGCCTTCCATTTACCGGGGCTGTAAATTGGTATCAGATTGTTTTTCGGAGAGAGAAATCACTGGCCTTGTGGTAAGTGGCCCCCACAGCTAGAGGCGAGGGCTGTTAGTCTACGCTGTGGCAGCTTAAAGAGCCACATAAACGTATGGGAAGAGGTATCAATTACGAAAAGGAAATTCAACCCGGGCGAACTTCTGCTCTTGTCCTTTATTTGCATATTACCAACTTTGTGTAGCCTACTTTAGAGGGTATGAGTGATTCATGGAAATTTTCCTTGGAAGAGTGGGGAATATTGAGAACAGTGCTAGCGAGAGCTAAGGCTGTCGCATGGACCTGGGCTGAATACTTGAAAACTTCCCTAGCTGGCTAGTTGTTTTGACAGCAATTACGACTTTGTGACTAAACCTATACAACGGCGACTTCGCAGTATTCGTCAACAATTGCTGACGAGTAACTAGAGAAGAGGCTCGGGTAGGAAATGAAAGTCATCCAAAAAAGGATGTGGGAGGTTTTCTGTTCTCTGCACCACAATGGATCCGTAAAACTCTAGGTCTCATAAATGCGTTGAGCAACGTCGTCTGTGTGTCGTCACCGAGGCCGATATTGGGTCTCGTTCGGCATCGAATTTCAATGTGCTTTCTGGACGTTAGAACGAGCTGTGAGAGTGAATGAGCTCCCGTTTCCCTCGCCACCCGTCGACCGCCCCGTAATTAGAACGCAAAAGATTTCTCTTGTGTGATTGACGTCTTCCAGCTACGCTTATCCGTTTTCCTTAACTCATTCTCAACCAAATAAATATTCAGATTCTATAGCTTGGATAGGCGCCTTTTCAATGGGAATGGCTTTATACAATTCCTTCATGAATGCGTTTTTATTCGCACTGAGAAATTGGTCCAAATTTTTGCCAATCAGACTGCCCCATGTTCAATAATATTCTGCTATTTTTTCGAGCAGTTGTTCCAAATGTCATCAATTCGAGCGTGAAGATAATTGTTTTCCCTTGATCCGCGCGATTTTCATGAATTATTACCGGCGATCTTGGAATAAAACGTCTATTTCCTCCACATTCGCTGGTAGATCTTTCTCGGATGCGCCATGCACTCGGGCTTCGTTCAAAAACTTAGAGATATTTGAATGGCCAGATCAGACTTACAATGCGTTGGTATTTGAATTGAACATCCCCATTGCTATTTTCTTTCTCCACTCTTGCTGTGTTAGTGATTACATTATTAGTTGCAATAGTAAACAAATTAAATTAAACATCCTGGTCACTACACTGCCCGGCTTCGGCATTTTTATTTTAGCCACTCTTTTTTTGGCTGACATAATAATTTATAGCAGTCGATGGTGGCTGCAATTAGGCTTATTTCACTGCACTTTTTGAATGGGTTCTGAGTGTAGCACTCAATCTCTTGGTGTTCGATTTTCTCCTCTTGACGACAGATTTTCCAGCTTTCCTGAAGAACTGTCAAAGAATTCTCGGCGCAGTTAGGCTTGGAGGGTGGCACCAAATTATACTCAGCGAAGCCTGTACAGGTGCTTATGAAGAACTGTGAATTCTTGTTACCAGAGTGGCTCAGTTGCATCATTCCGCAGCTTCACATGAGCTTACAGGTTTTGCTAGAATAAGACCTGCTAGTGAGCACGTGAGTTAGCAAAAGGAAATAGCAACAGCTCAAAATGCCCCTCCCAAACCAAACACCGCCGAATTCTTATGCTCTATTTCGAGGATTTTCTTGTTTATTTCACAAACCAATCGATGCTTTTCATCTATGGCTTGGGTTGGTATGAATACTAAATTGCTGTTATGATATTATTTCAGATGAAATGACACGAAACAATGCGTTCAGCGGTCGTGTTGGAGCAGTACAATGCCGTGCGTGAACAGCTGCAAGCCCGTATTGCGGAGAAAATACGAAGACAAATGAGCACACTCGTATGTTATTTCGAGCACTTTTTAGCCCATGAATATGGGCAAATGCCTAGCCACACGCGACCGACCAAACACGCGCGCGCTGAATGTCAGTCAGCAACAGCCAGCAGCCAGCGGTGTTGGAAGACGACGACGACATCCGCCGTTGTCGTTCGACGCCGCCAGCCTCTATTCAATTCCCATGTGAATGCTTGAAATGGCACAGTTTTTGGGTAGTACATTTGGTCACTGGGGATTGAAGACGAGAAAACGCCTCAGCTGCCGTTTATTCTGCCATTTTTCTGATGTCCACCATCGATGCTATCATGTACAGAAAACGACGATTCTACGTCGGAGCGCTCGCCAAATTGGTAACTTTCCTCCATTATTGATTTTTTCGACTGTAAAATCGATTTCTTTACAAGAATAATCCTATTTTTTCTGAACTGTTTCTGGAATTTAATCGCAGTATGCTTCTATCTCACCATGACATGACTGGATAGTCCTGACACTTCTCTATTTGACGCAGGGCACGTCGTTCGTTGCTGACTCCCAGTGAGGGGGATCGTTTTTGCCATTTTTCATAAAAAATGCTCTCGGTCGTTGACTTTTGTCGTTTTTTCTCCGTTTGTCAAGCGTTATATGCCTCTCCCTCCATCCACCCCAGAGCACATCGTTATTGGGGACTCCCAATAGGGGTCGTACTTGGTCGATGGGGGAGAGGGAGCGGGTCGTATTTGGTGTGAAAAATTTTTTATAATTTTTCTTGCTTCACGGACACTAGAGGGGGGGGGCTCGAATCAAGCGACCTTGTGGTGGGGGTCGTACGGACTCGGCTAGGGAAGTGGTGGAATTTTTGGAAAAAAAATTCGGAAAAGTGATAGAAAGTTGGGAAAATGGGGAAAGGTGAGGCGGCGTATCAAAGGAGGAAATTTTGATGAAGCGTGTCGTATTTTTCCAAAATTTCTCTACAATATGACTGGATGACCCAGATACTTCTGTACTTGAGGCACTCTCCGTCTTTATTTGGGGATCCCAAGCGAGAAAAGCTGTATTGGCCTCTGTAAAAAGATTTTTCGGCTTCTCAGCTGTTGACGTTCCTCAGTTTTTTTCCACATCATATGTGCTACTGACCTCCACACCCCTCCCGCTCTCGCGCGACTGTAGTTTCATAGAGAAATGGATGAATTTTCGAAAAAAAAACATTGCTTATCGAGAGAACCTGGGGAAAGGTACATAGTACTGTGGAAAGGGAAAAGGGTCGTACCACAGAAGAAAATCCTCAGGGAGGACCGTATTTCACAAAATTCCCCCTCTATCCCCCCCTCCTCCTCCGAAGGCCGGATGTGCCTTGATGTGATGCTCCACAAGTGCACTTGTGGTTATGCTTTTTGTTTGGTCTCAACTGTCAGACTTGATGTGCGAAAATCGTACAGATCAAGAAGATGATCTTGCCAAAATGTCGGGACCATTAACTCTCCACCATAAAAGAATTGTTAGGCACAAAATGCAATCTATAACTCTGTACCAAAACAGTAAATGGTTTAGCGGCGAGTATACTTGGAGAGTTGAACTGTATTGATTTTTCACGGAATTCGAACCTGATAGTTCTTCCTTAAAAGAGTAGGCTCTCGGGTATGACCAAGTAATTCCAGTTAATTGAGTAGCATCTCATTGAGTTCCGAGGAATCGTTGGTACTAATTCGATTAGGCTTGTTGATACGCAGTTCACTACCCGGCTGGTCCACCAAGGTTTCAATGTCCCTTATGACCTCTGTTTGAGGGGGTCGGTTATTGTTGTGTACTCCCCCCCCCCGATCATGCCTCTAATTGGTAGCGCTGCAGTTTTACGGTATCTCCCAGTTGATTAAGCGTTTGTCCAACAAATCTTCCCTCCTTAGTCGGCGTGTGTGTGGAAAAGGAAAGTATCCAAAAAATGCCCAATCGGGATCGTGTGTCCTGTTCTCAGTTTTAGGTCGAGCGGGGGCCAATTAGCACAGGCTGACAGGTTGTCATGTTTTGAGGTGCCTTCATAAACTTGTCATCGCTAGGTCTCCTCATGAGAAGTTCTTCACAACCTAGTGTACAAATTAGTTGTCTAGTCGATAAACAGTTCCTGGACTAACTCGCGAGTAAAGCCAATTAATCGGGCTCGAACCAGATCGGAATCGCGAATCCTCATGAGCATTTGTCGCATGGATAAAGCCCCTGAAGTTACCAGTACCAACAAAATTTATCTACACTCTTAATAACAACTGCTATCTGTTATACCTGACTTGTTCCCATTTAGGTTGGCAATATGGAAAGTGCTGATCTGCTGCTGGTAGCAGCTGATGGTCGTAAACTTCCAGCACATGAATGCATACTGCGAGCACGAGCTCCAGGATTCTACCAACGTCATGTTGAAGCTACCGTATCGGCAATGGGCCGACAAGATGGACGTCTCAGAGAGGTATGGATGGTGCATTTTTGATGAACCCTCTTGGCCGTCATTCTCAATGTCTCTTTCATAGATTTAAGTATTTATTCAACTGCAATGTTCACAGCTGTTGTTAGACGGCCTTCCAATTCTCTGCCGCCCTGGCTAGCCTCCTTTCATTATCGGAAGGTTTTTTCTTCAATCATTTGTTTTAGGTGGCCATTGGCGACATCGATTCGTCCGGACTAGAGTTTTTCATACACTCCGTGTATACTGAAGATGAGATGGCTCAGTTCCCATCTCCTATCGAAGACGAACACCGTGAGCTCTCGCTAAATTTATTGATTTTCACTTTGATCTCTGACCTTTCTTGATCTGCGCCTTCTAATCGATATTTCAAAATGATCGCGCTAAAATCAATCATAGATCGAGGTTTAGTTTGTGATAACTGTCGTCGATTTATGGACCGCAAAAAGGGTTCTCATGTGGTTTTCAAAAGTGAGTTCAATTCGGGCTTACTGAAGCACCTACACGCTTGCAGACGTACTCGCACGTTTTTCGCCACTTTCTGCTGCCATCAGTTACATCGCAATCAGTCGGGGCGTTTCCAAGTGGGTTGGAATGAGCCTACTGGCGTCATTTCCGTCACTGGTTGTTTTCCTCCCAAACAGGGCACATCATTGGTTAGGGATTTTAGTCGACTCTATACGAC